ATACTCAAGCTCAATTGATGAAGAGGTTGGTGCGACACACAATTCCCAAGCTAAATTGATGAGGGGTGAATTCCCCGAAACACTCTGTATTGAGAAGGGAGTGGTGCTGTCTTGCAGGTTTGCGGAGTGGAAGGTTCGGCGTGCTTCTGGTGTACTCCAGACGCAGTCGTGAGTCAGTCCTCAGGAAGCGTGAACTCCGACGTTCGGAGCAGATCCTTTCTCAAAGTAGCAGATTGTGATAGGAAATCCATAATGGAAACAGATTAAAAGGACTTTATTATTGTCAAAGAACACAACATCAAAGTTGCAATCCTGAGGACAGAGCCTGCGGCCACCATTATTTTGGCTACCATCTTCAAAGAGATTGACTTTTACTACGAGGTATACTCGAGTCTTTCGAGTCAAAGAGTCTATTCGGCGTATCGGAGAAAGAAGTTGAACAATGCTTCACAGAAGGACACCATATGATGCTCCACACACCCCACACATCCCTAAAATACCAATGTCATGATATTTGTTATTAACCTTTAATGGAAGTTTTTGGTGCGCACCAAATAACTCATGCTTACCACGGATGGTTATCGTGACAGGAGGCTCCATAGCAGCACCCAAGGCAAACTGCTGTAAGGCACGTGGTGAACTGCCTTGCGGCAAGACCCAAGTGACTCCCGGCCAGGCAGCTTTATAGGTCAACAGGCAGTTGGATTGCATGGTGATTCCAAGGATGTAGGCTGTTGGCACACTGCTGTCATCAGATATGTAGTCATCAAGGCACACCCCAGTCCATGTTGCAACGCCTGCCATATGTTTACCCGGCGGAATGAGTTTAGAGGCATTCTGATACTTCACCCCAGGGAATTCCTTCAATAGCACCAACTTTGGATTGCAAAATAATGAAAACACATCTGCAGTAATATCTACATGGACAAATGGACAGCTGTTGTAGAAGGATATGTTCGGGAAAGGAATAATTGTCCGTGGCCATTGAATTGGTGAAGCAAAGGGCGTACTTTCCAGCTTCATATGATTGTCAATGGTCAGATTTCGTGGAGTTTTTGACCGTGTGCATGTTGGTAATACTGGAGGTGGGAGAGAAACATGTAACAACATTACATACCCGATTATGATGTACACACCCATCCACAGATACACATGCCCATGTACTCGTTCAGAACGTTATGTGCACATGCACCCCCCCCCCCCCCTCCCAGATGCACACACACATATACGTCTACGCGCACACACACACACACACACACACACACACACGCCAACGCGCATACACACATTCCCTTTCTCTCTCTCGCAACCACGCATACCTACACACACGCACACACGCACGCACGAACACACACACACGCAAATACACCTTTGACCTTTGACGCCCATCGCGGGAGGCGATGATAGCAATGCTACGGCAGAAGCCATAGCAACTTGTGCTGGGATTGCACCATTCAACAGCTTGCAAGGCTGAAGAATTGACCGTCACTATTCACCCTGGTCTACACCATACAGCTATTTGAAGTGACTTTTTCTGGCCAGTGAATCCCTATTTTTGGTCTTTTTCTTTTTTCTTTTTTTTCTTTTTTTCCCACACACACATCACACCACATACTCCGGCATGCACTGGCTGTTGGTAACCACCCAGGAGAATGAAAGAAAAGTCAGGAAGAGTCTGAGAAAGAGAAGAAAGACGTGTGTGACCATAATCGTCGGGAATCGAACCCGCAACCTATCGATTGGAAATCGCTGCACATACCACTGCACCATATGGGCACACACGCAAATACACACACACACACAACGTCACGCACTCGCGCAACTATAGATATGCACCCGCACTTCCTCAGTGTCAGAAAAGTGATCGGTTGTGTTTGTGCGATACAGTGTGCAGATCGCTTCAAGAAAGGGATCATTCAGGCCAAGTCGTACTCTAAGCAAACGAAGTCTTGAAGCATGTCCGCAACGAGAAATACCGCGAGAAGCAACCAATACCCTCCAAAGTATAGACTTGAAGCTCTTACAAGGTCAGCCCTTCACCTGTTTCGTTGTAGCCAGGGTGTACTTGTCAATTCAAAGTAAGTAAAAAATATACATACATACATCGTTTGATTCGTTTCCCCGTAGTTGGATGTACAGTAAATACACTGGGTAGGGCACACGATCAAAGTCGTCTAGTGAATGCACTCTTTATGTAGTGATGTTGCTATTCGGATACGTGAAATTTATTTGGATAGATTAATAAGGGGTATGCCGTGGCATTCGGCCCTGTACAGATTTTTCATCAACCGCCACCACCACACTACAACTACGCTCTCTAGCCTCATAGGTAATGTATTTGTTCGCACGCTAGGATAATCCTCATCTTTGTAAGGATAATCTTACCTGTTGCTCCAGTTTGCGGTAGCACTACTCCAAACATTCCCATAGCCAACACCACGACCAGTACCCTGTGAATATACTTCATCTTCACTAAGTGAAGGGAAACAATATTTTTATTGCAACTCCGAGTTTCACGCTTGCGCGATCACCACGCGACAACCTAGACGATGGCTGTATGGAATGGGGCCTACCTGGAAACGTTCAATAACAGCTACATGGACCTCCGTGACGTTATCTACAAGAGGACAAGTTTTCAGATTGCCTATCAGTGCATGACACTTTTAGTACAGGCCTTGCAGCAAAGTTGTTATTGTAAGTGATGACTTTCAAGCAGGCTGTGAATGGCGTGTGTGACTGGCAGTGTCACTGGATGTTAACAGCATATACGCACAGGTGTCAATCCGAAGCGCGAGACATTGTATGTGCGACCTGATCAATGCCGATGATGATATAGCGTTATTGTCGGAAGTGACAGCATACGTAGACTTGCGAGACTGGCTACGGCTTACTCAATACCCTAGTGATGAGTAGTTGTAGATCTTCCTTTCAATTGGTTTATATTAAATACTAAATAGTGGCCAAACATTTCATTTGCGAAGTAGTTTAAGCGTGGATCTTATGCGCGGCTCGTGCATGGCATACATTTTCTGAAAGTAAGGTGAATTGCCAAACAAAACTATTACTTTGCTTAATTAAAGGGGAAGTATACCCTAAAATCAAATTTTCACCAGTTGTAGTCTTCTGGGTGCTGAGTCGAATGGTCTTGGTCCGAGGAAGCTGCGACGCTCACATCCTACTTGAATCCCAATCGAACTCGCGCACTTCCACCGAAACTGGGTGACTGCGCCCTACTAGATGGGGATTTGTATGCAAAATGTCACTAAAAGCGCCATTTCGTTCTTATAAAAGCACGGATGACCGCGATTGGCCCATATGTTGTAGTCTTTTGGACGCTGAGTCGACTGGTTTTGGTCCGAAAAGCCTGCGATGCAGCGTTCCTCCTTTATTCCCAATCGAACATGGTTGAAGAAGCGGTCACGTGCTCCTGCGTACACCAGTCACCTGGCCACCGTGCCTGCAGGTTACAACTTACTAGCCTGTTTGACCTTTTTTTGGGTGCAGTCCTGTCACTCGAGTTGAACTCGAGTTGAACCTTGGTGTGAAAGTTGTCGCCTGCTGGCGCGGTGACCAGGTGATTTGGGCACCCAGGAGCACGCGACCGCTTGTTCAACCATGTTCGATTGGGAATAAAGGAGGAACGCTGCATCGCAGC